ACAAACGAAACGAGCACATGGTGCACCATTACAGGCCCGCCTTGTAAGTGAACCCGCTCTATTTCCCCTTGGCGAATGAGGCCCTGCGAAAACAGGACAACAAACGATAGTGCTGTTGTTCACGCTGTTACACGTGCACTACAGACTTATAAACCAAAGAACTCAAGGGCAATTAATTATCCCCTCGAGAACTCGGTGATTCAGAAAGCAGGGTCAGAACCAAGGCTGCCGCTTGCTGCGTCAGCATCCTCGTTGCTCGCAGTCGCCGCGGGGGGGGGGGGGGGGGGCAGCAAACATGCAAGGAACACAGCAAGCGTCCAGTCGTGGGTTCAACTGCCCACTCTCTTCGTGCCGGACGATTGACGGAAGGATTTTTTTTTCCGGGTGACCACGTGCCGTGCACATATATAGGAATGCGCGTGCGGAGTTTCCTATGGGGGAGTGAGAGGCGGGTCAAGGTTCTATCAAAGCACTCTCCCTTGTGTTGAGAGAGATGCTCGGCACGCTTCACATTACACACACGCACAAAATAAAAAAACAAGTGACGACTTCCTTGAGAGAGCTGATTGCCTCTCGTTCCATGCTTTGCAGGAGTAACGAATTGAAAGTTAGCCGTTCTTGGAACGCAACGCTAAGCGTCTTTGGTCGCCATAATCACCAAAACCTTACGCGGTCATCGGATCCCTGCTCTTTAAAGGCCAATTCCGGCTATTTTTCGAGGTCAATGAATCCAAATGAAATTCACTGGGTCACGCGCTTCGGTTCCCACGTGCTTCGGTTTCAAGAAAACTGCCAGATAGCGCTCATGTCTTACGTGTGACGATGCGCTCGTCTGCCTCCGTTGCATGCTCGAGGCACTCTAACGCAGCGCCTCCAGAATACAATTCACCAATTTTCTTGAGCAGAACATCAAATGAACGTTTTGATCACTCTTTTCAGCCGCAAGACTATCGTCTTTCGACGACATTAGCAGTGTAACATGCAGATTCGGGCCATTTTTTTTCCTTCCTCTGTGGTGTTTGGCTGCAGCTTCGCTGGTCGGCTTTAACGGTTTTCATACCCCGCGCCGGCGGGATCAGTATATGGCCTGCACTTCTTACCAAATAGTATGTCATACGCAGACAGGGCGTCCGGTTGGGTTTCGGTTTCGGTATTGTGTCTTTCCAGCATTCCAGCTATTGGGCTCGCGACAAGAGTATCTCAGGAACTCGGAAACACCTTTACCTTGACGTGGTCGAAAAATCGCCGGAGTTGGCCTTTAAGACATAACGGCAGGCCCGGTTAAGTAAGAGTATGGTATAAAATTCATGCCTTCTATCGGTGATTAAGAGGGCGGGACGCCCCCTCACTCCTCGTGCGCACCCTTTTTATACGATCAGCTGCGCGCGAGTGTTTCAATGCTTACCAGTTATGACCAGCATATCTGTTCAATTATATTTCTCGCAAACGCGCCAAGGACGACAATAAAAGAGCCCGTTCGCTAACGTGTATCTGAGCGATCACCCCGTTGCATATTGCCACACACCCTTTTTGGCTTATGCAAGTGCTATCAGTGCCAAACAAGAAAAGTTAGCATCGCTTGGCGCAAACCTCGCAGCCTTGTTAAGAAAGCTTCTCGGGATTGTTCGAGATTGTTTCATTAAGATAACGCGCAGTGCGTTAGTAGTCAAGTTCAATCATTTTAGTGAGAACCCTACTGAAGGGTAACTCATGGAATACGGACCTATACATGGGTTGCACGTACGTCGCATCCGGGAACGAGAGGACCAAGAACCGCTGTTTGTCAACATATATACCTGCCTGGAAGCTTAGTCGGGAGCATTGCAGCGGCAAGATCTGATCGTCGGTCGTGCTATCAGCTTCACCACGACTACAGTGTACTCTGTAAGCATGACTTTTGTGCTATTTTTGGATTCTGAACAAGGTGTGGAACTCCCGCTTTTGAAGGCAAGGCGCAACCGCGGTTTAGAATGTTTATTTCACCGGCAAATACTACATATCAGTGTGTGCGAACAAGAATGTCCGAGAAGCACCGCATTGCTTGGCTGGCTTGCATCGAGCGGCAAAACCTGAAGAAAAAGAAATGCATCCGTGCCTGCCGACATCACAGGTGAGTGTATTTTCGAGTTATGCCAGGTTTACCAAGCTTATTGAAGTTATCACGCAGCTTATCCGCAATGCTACCTAGATCCTCAGCGATGTACAGACGACATTGTCTCCTCGAATAACCGCGTCTCGTGTTGTTATATAAGGTCTAATTGTGCGACATGTGTAAACGTATCTTCTGTCCCACGGCAACCCACGAATATAATGAACGGAATGAAGCGAACCCCGATTGGGCCACGACAATTATGGCCGGACTGCTGCCGCACCGCATGTGCGTTTTCACCGCTCTGAAATGTAACAGACCAACATGTTGAGTGCACTCGCAGCGAGCACGCTGTCCACAGAGTTGGGAACGTCGCTCGAGCTTCCTGCCATAACGCAGATACCAGATGATGATGAACCATCAGCGGTAGACCCTGTCGAAGTTCGTGCGTCTTGAGAAAGACGAAGTTTTACTTCGAATGTGTCGCTTAGAACGACGCACGATACGCTGGGATGGAATCTGCTTTGGTGATATTGTCTTCACCCATACGCTGGTGATATAGCTGTGGCCCTGCAGCGACTTCCAGGACTTGATTTGTTGCAGCATGACATACTTTGTCGAAAACCCCAAATATTTAATGTTGTCCCCATGCATCACGTAAGTTGCAAATTGCCCTTGCGCCACGAAGCACCAAACATCATCAAGGTAGAATATCGACGTTCGGTGTTCCATACCGATGTGCAGTTCTAACAGGTCGATGCCATTGCAAAATCAATTTTTGCTCAATAACGTGTATGATTTGGTCCCAAAAACTCTTCTAACTACGACGGCCAAAGCGTGTGCACGTATTCTTTCGCCATATCGCTCAAATGACGCCGACGTTTCCGACAAGTTGATAATCTGCACTCGCCGCCTGACTTAATGTCGACAAACATGGCGGTCACTCGCTTTGCTAGCCGGAAATGACGTCAGGTGCAACCCATGTTTATCAAGTTTATTCGAGAGCTTAGCACTAACACCAGCATTACGCTGCAAGGTTCAGTCACTGATGTATAAAAGAGGAAGCATTCTGCCGATAATCACAATACTGATGGCCCACAGCTGCTATTACCGCTAACAGAGTACAGCAAATATTGTTTGTACTTTCACTTTTCATTACCTGGATATAAGTTCACTTAATAAAGAGTTTCCTTTTTAACAGCGTGATTGCTTCTATCTTCACCATTAGGATCCCTTGACAGTATCAAAAGACGCGCTGTCATGAAGCCTACCAATACCTCGTACGCGAAAGTACGCGAAACTAGTAACAATATTGAGCCGTTCCTCATACATTCGGAACCATTGCGACTCTGATTTGGCACAGTATACACCATTATCAAGGAGTGGCGGTCACTTCTCGCGAAACGTGTTTTGCTATGTATACAAGAACACCTATATGAGAGCTCAATTGCCCAGATTCTTGAAATGGGTGGGATGAATAAGGTGTTTGCAAACCACTAAGATTGCATAGCTCTTGGACAGGCGGAACGTACAATGTAGTTTGGTATCAGTTTCAAGCTAATCAAAATGGCACCATGACACCTCTTGTTAAGGCGTCACAAATGCACGGGATATTAAACCAGTGGCCAATTACATACTGCATAAAGTTGGGTTGCTACGTACAAGTCGAAGCACCAAATGGCGATATTACTCAATACAGCTACAGTCGCATTGTAACAAACTGCCACGTGCTGCTCAATAAAGTATGTTTGCATTGCATTTAATTCGATAATTAAAAAAAATTACCCAGAAACTTCTTATTCATGTGTCCCTGCAGTGCTGTCAAAGTGCTTCAAGCAGTACAAGGAGCCAGTGGAAGGGTGACTAAAAGAGTGGCCGTGGTTCTGGACTTTTACTTCCCCGCTCATCGTCATTCTACGTCCATGTGTGGTAATGAAGTGCCGACATCTAAAAGCGATAGGTTGATGGTCCGCGTGCCAGTCGTTTCGCTTGAAGCATGGTTGAAAACACTGCAGTATGGTGGCACTTGAGCGCCATCATGCAGTTTCATTTTATAACTCGCAGTCTTTCTTTCAACGCCTGAAAGAATCCTCATCAACCATCTACGTTACCACAGAAAATAGAATAAGTCTTGTCAAATGCTTCCTGCAATATAATTCAACGTACCGGGCTCTAAAATAAATATATAAAATATTGCATATTTTATCCTAATGAAATTAGGCGCAATAAAAAAGACAACCCAACGAACGCCAGATGACTGTCAATGGTATGTTATTGGTTTCATTAAGTTGTGGTAAACAAATTCAAAAATATTTGTTCTACTGACGTGAGACAATACGTGAACTCTTTACCAACCCTTGCTTTCCCACAGTAATCCGAAACCAGCCTGAGGGTGGAGTACAGAAATATATCCATACGGTCATTTATTCACCAATAAGTGGTGCAACTTTTCTTAGCTATCTTCCATGTTTTTGCAGTAATCACACACGCCTCACTAACGAAAGATCACTGTGTATTCAATGACAGTGAACAAGACCTTGTATGGGTGTGGTAATATATTTTGTCGTTACGTTCTCAACTGTCATCGCCCTTGTGAAGTACTCATGTTGTGACATTATCGTATTAATACATGCATACCTGCATCTACCTTGCGATGTGACAAAACTGCGGGCAAATATCGTTTTTCAGAAAAGAAAAGAACACTGAGATGCTGTTGCGACACAGTACTGACCTTTTGATATTGCCAATGTCACTGTCTTGTTGCTACCCTCCTTCATCACAGTGCTGGTGACTTGCCGGGTGTAAGCTCTTACTAAAATTTATATCAGAACGGAGAAACTGAACCAGCTGTAAAGGTGGCGCTATCCGGTGTGCCATGAATAGAGCAAAATTTCTGCAGAACGTGCCCATTTTTCTTTATTGGCACATTGCAGGGTCAAGACGCCGGTGTGCAATAACAACACAACACAATAACAACACAACAACTGCATGGCAGCATGGAAAGCTAGGAAAATATGGCAGTTTTTTTCCCATTGGAAATACTTTGTTTCTTCGCACAATACAAGAACACGTCGAGATCACAATGCTAAGAGTGTTGTTACGTGGATCTGACGACTTCAGAGTTTTTCCGGAGGATCAGTACTTACGACCGAGCTCATGAGCTACAATTTTTTATCGGCTTCGGGAATCTCACTTCATAAAGAGATCGTTCGGAGTTCAGGCACACGTTTCATGCTTCGTGTGGACATAATTATCAACAAAAAGTTACAATCCGTAAAGTAGATCGTAGACTCGCTGTCCAGAAAACTAACAAGGTAGTAATTCTATTGACTCAAAGCTTTGTTGCGGGCCTGTTTCAGTTTCTTTAACCAGAGTGTGTGTGTTGCATATCTAGTCTGATGGCTCGCTGAGTTAAGTCACGTTGAATTAAGCATTGTTACGTTTTCATATTTGCTGCTGATCTAATGGCATGTCCGCTATGCAGCGGGCATCGGGCTGCAGAACCCTACCTAAAAGACTGTACACCGATACAAATGTGTTATTTATCTTCCTCATGGAAGCATATGTGGTCATACTTCGCTATATCAGTGCCATATGTCTTTATCGTCCCTCTATCGTGAGAGTTCTTCCTTTTTTATGCCTGCCATTCGGACGTACTTCGATGACGTCACTCCCTTTTACCGGCATGAGTCCTCAATATTCTCGACACGAATGGCAGCGTCCTCATACCCAATCCAATTGCCAAGTCCGCCAGTTCAGTGGGCAATACTGCAGCTCCGTAGTACAAGATGCCGCCCAGACGAAACTTTGAGATGTAGCGGGTCTTCGGGTACGTCTCCCCGATGGCCAGCACCATTTGGTCCACCACTTCGTTGACGTCGTCTCTGGAGATCAACTCGTAGAGCTGGCTGGGCATGTCGAGCCACCGCCGCACTTCCTTCACGCTGAAGTTGGCCACGACCTCTGGTGACTGTTGCTGAAGCTCTGGCTGCGTCTCGGCCTGAGCACCCAAGTTCGTCGTGATCGCCGTTCTGCGAATGGGTGAAATCGGTCAGCAAATGGACAAGAGCAAAGCTTGTGAGTCCAGAAAATTTTTTTCACCCTCGTGTTTACGGACCAAACGAGTCACGGAACTTGAAGCAGGCGGAGTAAAGGCTATTGTCTGAGTTAGCGGAATAAGCATGAATTGAACGTGCCGATTCCGCGAGCTTAACTTGCACTGCAGGATCCACGCGGATGAATGCAAAATGAGCACCATGAAGCCCAAACTTTGACTGGTTTGCTATTTACCAAGTGAGTTGGTGCACTGCTAAAAACAACAAACTGCATATGCACGAAGCACACTACGCCGAAAAATTAGGAGACCCTGAAGATTCGGTGAACGCGATAGCAATATTTTGTTGTAGTGAAAAGTTGTACCTTGTTGGAGTTTAAGTTTGGCTAAGCTCGGTAGCATATATCGACACCGTATTAGTGTTTTAAACCACGCCTGCGTCCCACGTAGATACAATGAGATATACTTCGGTTCTCTGAGGTCCCGTGAGTTATTTGTAAGCCTATGAAGGTGCATGAATGATACCTCTCTTGGTACACGTTGCATACGAGTGCTTATACATGTACAAAATTTTCTTAGTTGATTCAAGCGCAGCGCAATGGTTGTGCTCGTTTGTGTATGCACAAAGCAGAATCCCAATGAGAGTTGTAGGGGCGAAGCCCCTTAAAATACCACACAATGTCCGTGAACCAACATCAGTCGTCTGCAGCAGATGTACAAACCGAAACTTGTGTAAACAACGAAAAAGAACGTGAAAAGGTGGTTAACGAGAACAAAAAAAAATGGAAGGGCGTTAACCAGAAGAAAATAGAAGGCCATCATTCATGATTTTATGTACACTGCTTCCTTCCGTAACCAGCATTCAGTTTGAAAATATGCATAGATGTTGATTAACACGAATACAGAAAATCTACATGTGTTTAGCGTGCATAGGGAGGTTTTGAAGTCGAAGACTTGATTGAAGCCTCCTGTTAAAGGTAGATTATAGTACGACATGTTTGTAGCAGCCGTAGCACTCTTCGTAATTACTGACTAGACCAAAACATGTTCCAGCAAACAGTAAACTAATATAGAAAACAAAAACAAATTATAAACAATAAAACTAAATCAAATTAAGAAAGGTTACAATTACCTCATTTTGTGGCGGCTCGTGCCACAAGAGCTTGGCTATACCTTGCTAATATCAGAATTTTGAGGTAGTTTTTATGTTTTCAACATTGGCTAGGATAGGAAAACTTGACAAATTATAGCGCTGCAGGTAGCTAGTGCGTCTGCAATGCGCGACCATTGAGCAAAGTGAACCTTCGCACTATGTCTTTATTGATGGTATGGTTCAAATCCCGGCTGCAGCGGCTGCATTTCCGATGGAGGCGGAAATGTCGTAGGCCCGTGTGCTCAGATTTGGGTGCACGTTAAAGAACCCCAGGTGGTCGAAATTTCTGGAGCGCTCCACTACGGCGTCTCTCATAATCATATGGTGGTTTTGGGACGTTAAACCCCACAAATCAATCAATCAATTCATTGATGGTATGATCTGATTACATCAGGTGCTTTGTTCTAACAAAACGTTTGGCTCGGTTTCCAAGCTCACCCGTCCCTGTGTACACTGATACATGATATTTTGAAAGCATTGCGTCAATGTTTTTTAGTCCATTTGACTACGAATTTTATTATTATTTCTAATATTCACGAGTGAGATTACCATATAACTGAAATTGCTTGCTTCAATCATTCCTTGACCTTATTTGGGCATGCCTGTGTAGCCACTTCCGCAAAAAGTGAGTAATCTTGCCTTACATTCTGCCGTGTTCACATTTTTTGCTTACGAATACTTACTTGTAGGCGATTGGTTCTATGTTGACGAAATCCACGCCCTTTCCTTTGCATTCTCGCCGTAGCCCGTCGACCATTGAAACCAAGGCGTATTTCGTCATACAGTACGGCACTCCCATTGGCATCGTGACGTGCCCTGGAATAATTTAAGAAAAAAGATGTGGACAGTTGCCTAACCTCGTCTACAAGAAGTAATGAGAAATTAGCATACTGATTCTACGACTACTTACTATAGAGAGTACTATAGAGATATAAAGAAAGGGAGAGACAGGACGATGACGCACGCATGAAGTCACACACCTCACAGTCAAGATATCGCCAATGAATTATAACCACTCGTGCAAATGTCTTTGTAGGGTTATAGTGAACAGTAAATATGCAAAACGAAAAGAAAATATGCACAATGTCTCAAGAGAGATTGCTGCTGCGGTGGCTACATTGAAAAGCAGTCGCCTCGCGGCCCTTGGAAACAAGGGCGCTGATGAGGCACTTGTGCTAGTGCCAAATATCTTCACACGTGCTTTTATTATCAGAACCTTTCGCCACCCATTTTTACTATACATTCCACGTCACTGTAATTATTTTATTACCTCTATGTTTTACCCACTTAAGCACGAGGAAGTTTAAGACCCTTATACAGCAACCCAACATATGCATTGTTCACATCTCGTCTTATGACCGGGCGCTCTTTGGCCATCAAGTGGCCCTTGCGCCACAAAACAGCACCACCACCACCACCACATCATCATCATCATCGTCATCGTCATCGTCATTATCATCATCATCGTCATCGTCATCGTCGTCATAATCAGCATCAAATATACGTGATGTAGCCAAATCCCCTCAACACATGTGGACGCAACCAACTCTAATACACTGAAATGCGGAGAAATAGCTGTGGCAGGTAAAAACACTTTTCTTGTTGTACACACACCAAATGGACTGGTGACGACGATCATGCGTCCCTTGCTCTTCTTCAGCATTGGCAGGAACTTTTTGGTGACCCTCAGCGTCCCGAAAACGTTCACGTCGAATATCTTCACGATGCTCTCCATTGTGATCCACTCCAGGAGGCCATTGTTTCGAACACCGGCATTGGCGACTACGGACCAAAGGGCTGCAAAGTAAGAAAGGCACGACACTTCATTGCCGATTGCGCGTCAGGCCAGGCGAAAATACAAAAAGTACAGGACCCTGTTGACTGACAATCGACAAAATCAGGTAGGTGGTAAGCTGCCGTGAATTAACTGCAGTCACACACCCAATCGAATTGACCTGAAACTCTGGCACCCACTTTATGGTGTAATTTCTCGGTACATCAAGTGTAGCAGGTGCATAAATGGATCTGAGTAATTTCTTCGCATTATTTCGGAATCATGCCCTTATCGTTGTACTACAGTGTCATGAATGCATACTAATTAGCTTCATATGTATGAAGCCTCGCAGTGGTAACACTTACAAGGCTAAGAACATTGCACAAAATACACACTAATACATTCGGTCCGGTAGTGATCCACCCTTATGCTTGAAATGTGGCAGGCCACTCACAGTTCTCAACATTTTAAACCAGTGCAAAGGATCACTCTTAGAGAAAAGCACTTTTCATAACCATACCGAGAGCTAATTCCACTTCATCTTTTGATATCCATCGGTAGGGATTCGCTAGCTCAACTTTGTCTTCACGTTTTTGAAAGATGTGCCTAGTTTTCACGTGATCTACCTTTGTAATAATAGCATGACCTCTCAAGAGAGGTCGTCGCTGCAGCCGATATATTACAAAGCCCTTTTCACACGGCCCTTGTCGACAACTACAATGAAGATACATCGTGCTCTATCACCTTTTCATAGCTTCATCAACAGTACTGTTCGCCGCTCATTTTCACTGAACTCGTCACATGTGACTTTGATAATTTCCATACCTATATGTTTTCTCCACCTACAGCGTCACAAATTTTGCCGCTAAACAGCGAGTCACCATGCCCATTGCATACATCGTTTGTGCCATGTAATGTACCGGCGCTCTTTGACCATCACATGGCCCTTGTGCCAATAAAGATTATATATCCTTAGGAAGTCACGCAGTGAGCGGTGAAACGATTCGCGAATCTTGTGGAATGCACTGATGAGCCCTGTGATTATAAAAACACTTTCTGCTCACGTATAGCACATATGTAGCGAAATATAGGGTAACTGTCATTCCTCTATACTTTTCTAAACGATTAAAGTTGCTTAGCCCCCTGCCATTAACATTTCTTAAGGGGTAATGATTACAAATATCCTACTTCCAAGTAGACAAAAAAATGTGTGGAGAAAAAACAAAAGCGAAAACAAAGTTTACCTACTTTCGGTTTTATTTCCACTAAGGCCACTTCCATCGTGTTTATTACGTCTTTTTTGCGTTGTTTGTTCCACTTTAATATCTGAGACTGAAGGCGGAACTTGAGATCCTTGACTAAATTAACGGTGGATAGCCGCAGGATCAAGCATAACACCGCAATAGACCCTCCACACGAGCTTCTCTATATGTATATGCTGTTTCATTTTTTTTGTTCTCCACAATCATTTACTCTCGTCATCAAACATAAAATTAAATTTAGCTATCAAACAGTATATTTTATTTACACATTTCATACACATGAGTCTTTTCGCATAGAAAAAAAGGAGTGTGAAAGAGCTGCTAGGATGTCCCACGTGGGCACCCTGGTGGCTTAAACTCCTCAGGACCATATATTAAAGTTCTTGACTGACTGACTGTGAAAGAGCAGCTGAAGTGTGTTAGTTTTCTAAAAAATAAAGGAATGTTGCAGAGATGTCAACAATAATATAAGGCGTGGCAATACACAGTAAACTTGCTATAGCAAGAATGATAGACATTCTAACCTAAATAAGGAGAAGTGCAGACAGAATAATTTATTTTTGTTCATTTGCTACTACAGAATTCATCGTATGTTTCACCTTTTGCTTCCAGCTAAAAAAAACTACATAATTCGTAACGCAAAAAGCAAGTCAGTGTACTTAGATTGTGCAGTTCGTACCCGTGTCCTAATGCCGACGTCAACAAGTTGCATTAGATGAACTGTGGTCCACTGAAATGGTCTCAGCTACCGAATGACACGTGTCGTGGCACGTGTGGTGCTACGTCTAGCCGTAAGAGTGGAGGTATATATACTACACGCACCGACGCAACCGGAACACATACCTAAGAATATACAACGCATACCTTGGCGTATGTGTAGCAGTAGGTATGGTGGCCTGTGTAGTGTGGTGGTACTCATATTGCAGGGTAGGCAGATTTTTTTTTCAGGGGCGTAGAGGGTGGGAGGACCACTTTTTTTATCTAATGTTAGGGACGGGCTGGCAAACGTGGTTGAGTTACATTTTGTGCTCTGTATGCCAATAAAAAAAATAATTCGAGGGGAGGTGAAGGAGGTGCACAGGCCTGGAGTGCCACCCCTTGGTTCAGGATACGCCTCTGGCATAGTGGTACGCGTAATAGAATGGTAGGTGTAATAGTAAAGTGTCTCACCTCTCGAGCCCAGAGCTTGCTGAACTCTTTCGAAGGCAGCGTCAACTTGGTCGGCTTTGGTGATGTCCATCTGGAGCACCGTCGTATTGTGCTGTTTGCCAAGGACCCTGGCCCCATCGCTTTGGGAGTCGATGCATCCGGCAAACACCACGAACCCGTCTCGACTTAATCGAGTCGCCAGTGCGTGTCCGAAGCCGCTGTCACAACCTGGAAAGATACTTCATGTATTTAGAAAAGAAACCATCGGTGACCAGAAAGCTTGAGGCATTGTACTTGACCTCATCGCACCTGACAAGCGTCACGGATAGTACACCGTTTAACGTACGTTCTTGGTGTAGAGAATTCTGTAGTTGGTTTAAATATATACTTGAATAATAATATTGCGCTGGTATTTCTTCCCATCAGCACTTCCACTTGTGCATAGGAAAGTGCTATTTTTTTATTTGGTACTGAAAAAACATAATCAAATCTGAAAATTGTGGTCAGTTCTTCACATTTGTTTCGTATCCTAGATTGCCATTTACTTTAACGGAACTTCTAATTTAAAATACATTCCTTATCATTTTTAATATCATTGATCATGCAGCACCATGTACGTTAGAAAAAGTCTCGTATAACTCAAAAAGTAATAGACACAATGTTCTTGCACGCTTCACATAAGTTACCACATACATGTAACTTCATGTTACAGCTCCTTAGTTTATCTCTCTGTGTTTAATCATGAAAATGATTAAGGCTGCTGTCCACAAAGTTTCACACATGGCCTTAAATGGGTTGAGTGTATTCAAGTTCACATTGTTTTTTTTTTTCGAATGATTTTGTTCACGTCCATTTTGTAATGCGTCCCATTTTACCCCATTCGTTGTGTTCTTTTCGCCTTACGAGAGCCCATTTTCCTACTCCGCGGCTATATTCAACATCATATAAAGAGAAGGACTACAGAAAGTACTTATGCTCACGGCATTACAGGCATTGGGGTGGTATAATTACGCTTAAGACGAGACACTGTTCCGACTTCAACGTTGAGGATAACTAACTTACGTACGGAGACACTCCTTCAAATGTTGCTGCAGCCAACTCAAAACACAGCTCATCTAAGCAGGTAGGCGGGATGGAGCGCCGGCTGTACGACGGCTGGCAGGTTTCTTTTGCTCAGGGTCATCAGACGTGAAAACGTACGTGTTTTCCGCTTAGCGGCACATCGTTGGCTGCTATGGTTCGCGCTGAGCAAATGTAAAGTAGCCTGATTGTGATTTGCTGAAGCATTTGCTCATTTTTAATTGAAATAAATACGAACGAAGGAGTTGTCATCATTACTTGGTGACGGCTCCCTTCTACCTTGATTGTTGCGAAATAATGATCAAAAACAAAGTAGCACAAATACGTATACACAGTTCTACATAACTGAATCCGGAAGTTCTCAATCGGGCAAAACGAACACATAGCCGCCACGCTTACTTTCAAACCAGTCCGCTCAGTATTGGTCACAAGGCTTTCACTTCTTGCATTGTTGTATTCTTTATTCTGTGGTATCAAAGCCCTAGACAAAATCATGATTAGAGAACCTTTATTATTTATGGGGTACTCACAAGCTTGGTAGGCCTTCAAGTGGCCTCAACTGCGCTTTAAGCAAGCTGTGTAAATGAAAAATAATCTAAATGAATAGCAGATGTCAACTGCACATTCCCAGGCCAGGGCTCACAAGGAATGTTTTTTGTGGGAGAAATGTTGCTACCGCTTTCGAGACACTCATTATGTTGCATGTACAATGCACTAGCAAATGCTGAACACCTTGGAAGAATAATGAAAAAGCTGGAAATAAGTTCACAGGAGCGTAAATAACGCTAGCAAACGCCGAACACCTTGGGAGAATAATGAAAGTGCCACCTGGATGTGAGTATTGTCAAAGCAATGGCAGCTTTTTCCGCCTCGATTCGTTGTGCCACTTGGTCGAAAGTGGCGCAACATACTAATTTTTGGGCATTATCTGATACTACCATTGCAAAGGCCGGACGATGGGAGCATTCCGTGGCATCTACATACGCGACCGTGGTCGGTGATACGTAGCGCTTATGACGTGACCTAGCTCTGTCCAATCTTCAGTCACGATTATTGGTCGAATTTTTCAGCAATAGTATACGATGTACAGACTGTCACTAATGCATTCGGGTGGAGAATTCATGGTGGTGGTGCATCCTATAAGGTTAACTTTGAGGTGCTGAAGGAACAGCCTTCCTGTTTATTGGAAAGGTGGTTATAATGGCTTATGAGGTCTGCTTCCAGGAGGTCACCAATCGTGGTATACACACACCATTGGGGAAGTTTGCTTGATTATATAGCGGTACTCTTGGGAAGGTGCATAATGATGATGATGATAATCATGATCATTGCAACTACTCCCACTGCAGAGTGAAGGCCTCTCCCATGTTCTCCTAATCAATCCGGTCCTACGCTTTCTGCTGCCACGTGCAAACTTCTGCAAACTTCTTATTCGTATCTGGCTACCTAATTTTTGTCATCCCCTCCCGCGTTTGCCATCCCTTGAAATCCAGTCAGTTACTCTTAATCAGCAGTGGTTATGCAGCCTACATGTTACGTGCCTGGCCTATGTACATTTCTTCTGGATCGCAACATAGATATCTATAAACCCCGTATGTTTCCTGACCAACTGTGTTTTCTACCCGTCTTCACCTAGAATTTTCATTTTCATGGGTGCCCACGAGTTTTATACTCCACACGGATGAGGCGATCTACCTGATGTCTGTCGAGCTGAAACACTTTGTTACTTCAGATCATTTCTGATCGCCTGAATTTTTTTTTCGATATTCTTGTGAAGCCACAGTCTGTTTATGGATAAACCACCAGGGCTTACCTGTGATCAGAACGGCTTTACCGTCAACTGGTAGCTGCTTGACGAACAACTTCTTCCACAGGATGCCGGATAAACAGTACGACACCCAGAAGATGATCACGAGAGACCCGACGAAGCTTCCAAGTTCGGGAAGCAACGGCACACGGTCCCACAGCTTCCAGAGGAGTACCGAGAACACGGCAAAAAAAAGCCACGAAGTCCGCATGGCTGTGCCTCTCCTATACTGCATTAATATCGGCGTACAGCTCGATCGGCGGCCTTCCAAGCGGAAGGAAAATGCGACCCCATATCAGCGGGGTGCCTTGGAGGTAAAAGGAAACACGCGTGTCAAAAAACTAAACAAGAATACAGGAACACTTCGATGTGGGATACTGCTGGGGCCGTCGGTGCTAATGCCGTTTGATGGGTCGGAAAGAACCGGCTGTCGATAGTTCAGTCGCGGGCGGACTCCCAATTCACTCCGTGAAAACGCCTCTTTGTGGACGCTGAGTGAAAGTTTGTTCAGCCACGCGCTGCGCATACTCTCGGATATAATGAGACGAGAGCCAAGCAGAAAAGGCGACGCTCGTGTAAGCAACGGTGATGTTTTGCGACATTGGAGAGCTGCCAAGTTTTTGCGGGGTATATGTCGATTTGAAAAACACGAACCACCAGTCGCTGGCTCTGTTTTCCTTTGGTGTTTATTTACACAGGTATCGTTCCCCGTGTAGGGGCGATATGAAATGTAAACAAGCTATTAGTCATTGCGAAGTTTAGGCTAATTCTTTTTCAAGCTTCGTCATTTTGTCTCACGCCCACGCCACTGTTGTCTAGTGGCGAAGCTACTCGGCTACTGAATCGCAGGTCGCGAAATCGAATCCCGGCTTCGGCAGCCCCATTTTTGATGGAGCCCAAAGTTCTGTAGGCCCGTTTGCTCATATTTGGGTGCTAGTTGAAAAACACCAGGTGGTCTAAATTTCCGGAGTCCTCAATTACGGCGTCTCTCAATGTTATGGTAGTTTCGGGACGTTAAACTCCACTAAGCAATTGTCTTGTGCGCAAAAATAAAAACAAAGTGATTATGAAGCATGACGCTATGCAGCAATTTGTTTTGCCAGTGATTATGTTTGTAACGTTTCTTTTTTGTTTTCTTGCATGTTTTGAAGTAGATGTATTTATTTTATCACCTCATTTTTTAAAGTAGTACAAGTCATTTTGCAAACTTTTTTTATGCACCCGTCATAATTTTTATTTTTATGGTCATTCTATTAGTGTAGTATAAATTGTGTAGTACGTACGCTATATGTAGCCATGTCATTCTAAAGGAGCTTAGCTTTTCTTCAAGACGTGCTTGAGTGGCTTTTTTTTTCTTCATCTGCCTCCATTTGCCACTTTGTTGTACATGTGTGCAGTGGCGTAGCTTTTAAAAATTACAAATTGGGGCACAAGACTTGCCGCGCTGGCCATTTTCTGTTAGTGTTGTAGATTTTATTTTTACTGTTAAACGTTAAATGTACGCCTTGAACTCAAATCGAAAGGAAAACGAAAATGGGTTTCTAGCTCGCGTAACTGAATCGTTCTATCGAGTCTCTTCCAAGACCAATCGAGTGGCAGTTGCAATTTCAAAAGTCTCACGAAGCTGAAGAGTATCGTACGCCCGTCGATACAAAAAATAAAGGCATTGAAAAAGTTTAATGCGCTGCACTGTCGAACCATTCATAAATATGATGTTTTAAAGAGGAATTTCAAGGGTATTTTTGCAACGGGTGTTCCCTGGCCACAAGTCTGAGCACAAAGGACATTCGAGCTTTTCCTGACCCCTCTATAATTTACGCCGCTGCATGCGTGTGTAAATTGAATGCAATGAATCAAATTATATTACTACTAAACATCGAGAAAGGGTGGCGTAAGAGGAGCGGTCACATGACATTGGGCTAGCCCAGAGTGATAGAGGGTTAAACCAGCCCGTACTTCTGGGGTATGTCAATTTTGCATAAATATACACGCACACGTACAATCACGCCCCCAAATATGCATAAAGACTTTTTGCAGACCCCCCCCCCTCCCGTCATTATTTACTCCTATAAAGACTTTCCGGCTGTAGATACGCCCCTGCAGCATCTGATAACATGTCTTAATGTCATGCCCACAGTGGCGTTCCCAAGGAGGCCTTTTTTAGCCTCCTTGGGCGCTCCTAGGTCACGCTGCTCTCACTCAAGAAGCATAGCCTCTAGAATTGCACACACCATCTCAGAAGCAACGCTTTGCTGCGGCCTGCTTCGTGTGTCGTGCACGGAGGGCGTTATACGTTCGTTATTGTTGCCATTTATCGCGCGCAAATATTGTCGTTGCGTCGTTCGCCTCACTTGCGTTCTGCGTTTTGTTAAACCGACATCACTTGTAAAAAAGGGATACACATTTAGCGTAATCTTTTTGAATAACAGTTCCGGATGCACCATATTATAAAAATTTTCATAATTGAAAATTCAGCTGAATAGTATATTCATAAGGACCTCATCCGCAACAGAAAACAATATGAAAACCATAGAAGTAACACAAGTTCGGGCATATTGGTATTCCGTATCATTATATACCTGAGGACGTTACATAAGGACATAATTCTGGAATTTTTACGCGCGTGATGCATTGTAAACAACCTAAGCTAAATGAAAATATATAAACTCATTATAGCGGCCACCATACTTCATAAAATACGCTTCATTTTTTTTTCGAATAGAAAAGGGACAGTGCAATATTCTTATTTTTTTATTTGAACTTTCGATCCCACAGTTGTCAGTAACGTACTCCTAATCTGACGTATTGACTAGGGTCAGTCTTTTTACCGTGCTGCAGGCCGTTAAGCTTTCAGAGAACGCGGGAACGTCAAATGTACGTGACGCGTAATACGTTTACTAAATAACTGAAAGTTCTAACTTTTAAAATTAAAAAAAAATTGAAATCAAGCTGCTTCACAGTATAGGACATTGTTGCTGCAAAACGCTAGAATATGCTGAAGCGCATAATTTTCCTTTAATGAACAATAAAATATTGATGCACTTTTTGTAGAAAACTGGGTCTTGATGGGTGCATACGTGAGCATTTTGTTGTATACTGCCTTAGTTACCGATCCAGGTATTTTGCTCGGAAGCATGCCATTGTCGTGGTGGTCTCTTGAGCCATGAACTGGCGCTCTTGGCCATCAAATCGCCCTTGCGCCACAAAGCACCAAACATCATCATCGTTACGGTGGTCTGGGAATCGTGAGGCTGAATCAGACGTCAAATTATTTGTCAGTGCTGCTTTTTAAATGTTTAGGAAGACATTGTGTTAGTTGCGGAAAAAATTGCAAACTTTGAAAAATTTTGGTTGCTTTTGAGCATGCGTATCTGGCAGGTTATGCTGTAAACTTTCCAAATTTTTACATGGAACGGGTAAATAGAACCTTTGTGCTAGCGCAAGCACCGTTTGAAAACTCAACAAGACAAAATATGGTCAAAATACAAGCAAAGCAATCTTCAGAAGGCGCCATACTCCTGAATATTTTTGAGGAAAAAAAATGTTAAGCAACAATACTTCATAGGGTGTAAAAAAAGGCAGAAACGTCTGTCGTATTCAAGCGCCATGTCTGGAACGCTTGGCATTGAATGACGCATTGTATTCTGCGGGAACAAATCACAACTAAAACCTATCTCTTGTCCCACTAACTGGCGCATTTTGGCCATCGAATTGCCCTTAAGCCACAAAGTACCAAACATCAACATCAAAACTAGAACGCAATAGGCATGTAATATACACACTTTTTGTACATATGTAATGCCAGTGTCTTCCAAAGTGATATAAATCACCCACACAAAGTCATGCGATGATTTTCTGTTCATCATTGAAATAGAAGAATAAAGGAAGGAGTTTTTGTCACCATTACTTGGTGACAGCTACACCTTTTCACTTTGTTGTTTCAATGTCGTCTGTTGGCCTGCGAGCATCCATCAAAATGAAAAAAGTTTTTAAATGTTCCAATATTCCGGCAGAAATGTTTCACGATGTGCATCTCGTTACACTGGTACTGCTTTCGGCAACAGAACCATGTGTAATAAAATATTTCAACTAGAAGCGATACAAAAACAACTTTAGGAACAAGAATCGGTAAGCTACTACTGTCTTAATGTTCCCTGTCGGTTATCTTTTAAAAGCACATATAAATGGAAAAATTAAAACGTGTGCCCAAATCGGGACGCATTGTAATAATGGCATGAGTAAAGCACGAACAGACCCCGCAGGGGCGCCTGTTAAAGCAGGCGTTTGGTGTGTAGCGACACCACGGACCCGAGCTAACGGGGGAGTTTCTACTCCCTCCCACGCCTAGCCGTGCGTGGCTTTGCCGTGTCCGGGGAAAAGGGGATCCTGGGGGTTGAGCTGACGCTGGGTGATTGGACCTTTAAGGCCCCCCGGCCGAGGCAACACACCCCTTTGGCCCCGGCTTCACGTAGACGGCACCCCTGGGCTGACCCACCCAGGGGAAATCGGCAGTCGCCTTTTCCTATCTCCCTCTCCCTACATCTTCGTCTTTATCTCTTACTATTTATCTGTCCTGTCTTCTACTCTCTTCTATTTACTTCCAATTTTCCTGGCGGCGAGGGTTAACCTTGTGTGGTGGTCCTACCTTGGGTACACCATATTTGGTTATAGCAACGATGTACAGTTGGCATGGCAGGGCTTGCTCCATCACAACCTCTGCCGTGTCCCCTTGTTGGGCTCGGTGGTGGGTGACTGGCATTGTTGCCGAACAATGTACTCATTTAATGGGATCGTCCAACATTTTCGCAAATGATCGTCCCCCGAAGCGGGGGCGCACCGATGTAACCGCTGAAATCCTCCAGAAAAAGAAAGACACCTTCCCCAAGTATCACGTCATCCACTGTGAGAACACCGACAAAAAAGTCCGTAACATTTCACCTTTCCTAGTGTCAAGGTGTCTCACTGAGACCATCGGAAGCGGCTACAAAGCCACGAAGATGGCCAGTGGGGACCTGCTGGTTGAAGTTAAAGATAAGTCGCAATATCAAAAATTGACGAACCTTGTAGCGTTTGGGGACCAACCGATAACTGTCACCGCCCACAGAACAATGAATACGGTGAAGGGTGTCGTGTCAGACGATGACCTCATGGACCTTACTGATGAAGAACTCCTGGCCGGCTGGAAGGATGAGAATGTTGTACAGGTACAACGAATAAAAATCAGACGAGACAACAGGGAAATACT